GTGGTAAGTCTAATCGACAACATGGACACTGGGTCTCTTCGCAATCTCTGGAATTTATCGATGCTCGCCGGCATATTCCGGCTGGAAGCGAACACAATAAAACTCGCAAAGAGCTCCGGGCAAAACCCCGTGCTAGCCTGAAGAGACCGCAAATTCTGGTGGTCTCATCGTGCATCAGAGATGGAAATGGCCGCTGCTCTAGGGAACCAAGGTAAGTTATTCCGGCTGATACGGGCAGCAGAAAACCAGGTGTTAGGGAAACTATACGTGACGAGAGTGTGTAGCTTATCCACAACTTGCCCAAACGCTTGGCGCGTCGGGCTGAGCACTTTGAAAGGCAATTTAATCGTCCGGAATTGTTAGATTCTTCGCCGGCCAGTGATCGCCCTGCTACGTGGATCGTCTCTTTGGATCCACCCTCTCGCTCAGAAGTCGAACGTGAGATCGGACCGTTGAAGTTGAACAAAGCCGCGGGACCTGATGACCTTCCTCTAGCCCTCTTCAAATTCGGGGGACCTGCTGTTGTGGACGATTTACACGAGTTACTAGTGAAACTATGGGAGCAGGCAACTGTCCCAACCGATTGGAGCCGCTCCGTCATAGTCCCAATTTTCAAGGGAGGCTCACTATCGGAACGCGGCAACAATAGAGGAATCGAGTTGGTCTCCATCGCCTCAGAATTACTTGCCTCTGTCATCCTTCACAGACTGACTGGCACTCGTGAAAGCCAGATTCGTGAAGAGCAAGCTGGATTTCGTCGAGGTCGTGGCTGCATTGATCACATCTTCACTTTGCGTCAGTTGTTAGAGCACCGTTACACATATTGGCGGCCCACCGTTGTCGTGTTCCTCGATATCAAAGGTGCTTGCGGTTCGGTGGATAGACATGCACTTTGGGACTGTCTACTCAGGAAAAGTGTACCTGAGAAATATGTGAATATTATCCGAGCATTGTATACGCGTAGCTTGGGCAGAGTGAGGGCTTACGGCAAGCTGTCGTCGTCTTTTAAAATTTCCAGCGGTGTGAGACAAGGATGCCCACTGTCATCTTTCCTCCACAACTTCGCTATTGACGAAGTCAAAGAAATCGCGTTCACAGAACACGACTTAGAAGGTGTGGGTCTGCTCCCAGGAGAACGACTTCTTGACTTAGAGTATGTTAACGATATTGCCCTTATCTGTGACTGCTCACAAACGTGCCTAGCGGCACTGGACAGATTAGCACTGGCTGTCCACCGTTTCGGTTCTGCTTCGCATCCTCGAAATGCAAAGCGTTCCTCCAAGATTGGCCTGGACCGCCTCCTACGCTAACCGTTGGTGGGGATCAGATAGAAGTCGTTCAAAAATTCAACTACCTGGGAAGTTGTATCAGTGCCCGTGGGATTGTAGATGAGATCACGAATCGCATAGCAAAAGCTCGGAACGATTTTGCTAACCTTCGCCACTTATGGCACCGGCGCGACATCACTCTTGCCCTAAAGGATAGAGTGTACAATGCAGCGGTACGTTCGACCATACTGTACGGTTGTGAAACTTTTCCGCTTAAACAGCGGACCTGAAGAGGCTAGCTACGTTCGACCACCGGCGCCTTCGTACTTTAGCTCACATCTAGTGGGAACACCGCGTGAGCAACGAGCGTATTCGACGCCTTGTTTACTGCGCAGGAAAAGGAACCGAACCGCTCAGCACCGTTATTTCACGCACCAGGCTCCGATTGCTCGGCCACGTGTTACGCATGCCAGCCCACGGATTCCCGGGACGTGCTTTGTTTGCGCGCCGGGGTGTGGATGGAAGAAGAGGAGAGGTGGCCAGCGGATGACTTGGTCGAGAGGAATGAAGACCCTCACTTCTGAGCTGGCCTCAGTTGGAGCGTCTCGGCTCCCTGGTTGGGGTCCGAAAGACGATGAACGAGTTTGGTTGGACACAGTTGCTGATTTGGCTAGGAGCCGACCTCAGTGGCGTTCGTGCTGTGCGTTTCTTTGTCCCACCTCATCTCTGTTAGTCTCCCCTTCCAACCACGATCTCATTATTTAGGTTTATATAATTTCGCATAGTATTTTTTTGATGCACAGTAGCCGGCTGGTAGCTTACCGGAACGACGCCCATCCGTTACCTTTAGCTCAGCTGGCTTGCACCTGTTGCATTTTCCCCTTTTTTCTTTTAGGTATTGCGGCACAGTAGCTGAGGTGTTTTCCACCTCTAGCTAACGTGTATAGTGTGTGTGTGTGTGTGTCTACTCCCTACAACTTTGAATATAAACGCGTGATATCGCGCACGAGCACAAAAAATATACCTTAATTGAAACGAATTATGAAGAAACAGTTTAACGAAGCCTTTCCAATTTTGAATGGATACAAATCCCGAAGATTTAGTTCAGCTTCGTGGGATCGTTGCTCGATCGTTCCGGGACAATGCATCCTCATTTTTGTACCCATTTGTAAACGCAGCAATTTTGAAGGTACCCGTTTGGTACATTTGCAGTTGATAATGTAAAATGCTAAATATGCACCCATTTGGGTACATAAACCTTATACTGACTTGACTTGAACTAGGTTAGTGCATTTCAGGAGCGTGCCAGATACTTTCGACTCGGCTATATCCGATATAACCGCCTGAAAGAGTGCTGCTGCAAAACGTGTGCACGCGTAAAGTACTACACTAAAAAAGTTTTAAAGCGCATCAGGATCTACGGCGAATTATTGGATACCATTCCGAAACCTAGTGGAATTCGTTAGGATTGGCATATTTCCAATTTCCAGTCCATTCTAACGCAGGCACTATGGTGAAATTCTATTTCGTGAAGTTTAACGGTGAACGCAAGTACAATCTGCTGTGTGGGAAAATTAGATGAGCCAGATTACGCAGCAGACAGACATCGCCTCGCCACTTGTCCATTGTGAAGCAGTGCAACCAACTCTGGACATTTTGCGCTTCATTTTGCAATGGCACGAGTTCGTACATTGACTCCGTTAGCTTGATCGCAGCGCGTACCACTGTTTCACTTCGGTGATTTGCGCGATAGTAGGTGCTTGTTGACATGTCTCTCAATGCGTCTGTGCGTACCCCTCAACCTAGCCAGCGCAGTTGTTAACATATGGGACCACTCACCGAATTTTTCAAACGCATCTTATATCAAGCAATGCAACGCAACGCATCATGGATGTATACAAATCGAAGCATTACGTCAAGGTGCAGTTCCATCACGATATGTGCAATGGGACTTAGAATAACAGCTACTCTTCTGATATTCAGGCATTTGACTTAAATAAAATAAAAAATCGATAAAATTAGATGCCTAGTGGTTTTCACATATGCCAATATTAACACAAATAACAGCAGCAAAGTCAGCTGTATATTAGCCATTCGAACAGATGCTTCACGGCCGTACAAGCATAATGACCACAGAAGAATAAGAGGGAGAGAAGGGGGAATTACCGGAAATTCTTAATTTCCTAAGCAAACACTCAGGGTAAAGGCGCCTACACCTTGTGTACACGACATACCGTCACAAACAGCTGGATATCGTGCAAAAATAAGGCGGCATCGGCGATACAGCTTCCTTGCGGGTTTGACTGCCTCGCATCATAATCAGCCATCACCTCGCAGATAACTCAGCATTAAACACACTTTAAACAGGCAGTCCAACTAAGAGACGACAGCAGATGCGCCACTGGTGTCGACTGCGAGACATGTTCTGTCTCGAGCCAAACACAAGGCAAGTCACGTGGACTCCAGCCTGGAAGGTGAGACGGACCGATGGCACCGATTTTAGTCGTCAGTGACTTCATTTCTCGTTGCTAGGTTAATTTTTCCCCACCTCGGGCCTTGCGCCACCCTACATCTGGCAAAGAAAACAAGACCCTCCTCGGTAAGCGGTTACCGAGCATATGTAGTACGTGCCCAAGCCATTGTCACTTTTTAAATGTTATTTGTTGTTCCAAGAAACAAGTCTGGTTATCACCGCCTTATCACTTGCCTACGCACATTATCGTTACAGACAAGCTGGTTCCATCCGACCACAGCAATGCTTCGTAAGCAGAGATCAGCAAAGGATTGAAGGCGCCTCAGACGGTCAGACAACGAAAGGGAAAATTCAAAGTTACAAACCACTTGTTGACGTAAAGAAATCTGAGAAGTCGCCCTAGACTCTGATATGGTCAGTGGTTTTTGAGTGAAAAATGTTTACATGAGAAAGAAAAAAGACGCAACACAGGTATGCCAGCTGAGCCAACAGGAACGGGTGGACATCGCTCTGGAGAGCTGGAAGCCAGCTATTATGCCGCTAGTTATTTTATGCGTCAGAAATGAGATTGTAATTGGAAGGGAAGGGACAAAGAAACTCGCAACACAAACGCCACTAAGGTCGGCTCCCAGCTATTTCAACAAGTGTACTTAGCCAAAAGTGCTTATCATCTTTCGGGCCCCAACCATGGAAACGAGAAGCAGCTTTGGAGAGATCATTAAACAAGTAGCAACCTAAATAAAACGATCGTCTCTAACTCAGTAATATCAGGTGTGTGTTTGCGAGTTTATGGGTTGGATCACGCTTGCAAAAGCGGCTGCACAACCTTCCCTATGACGAATACTCAGTGACCTTACACAACTGGATGCGTAATCGTGTCTTCGCAGGCATCCCGTGGTACTCATGATATGGGCCAATCGAGTTGAGGTCGCAGTCAGTGAAATGTTGCTTCCCAAAGTTGATAAGTCAATTGCCGATCTCCCTCGAAACTATTCGTAGGGTGTCGGCACCCAGCTTATTCTAACAACTATTCATCAATGTAGTACGAAAAGCAAGGAAGACATTATGGAGGTGCCTCCAAAAGTAGCTAGATGGGCGCCAACTATCACTGTAGCATAGTATTCAACCAAGAAAATGTTAACACAAAACCAAAGGCAGTCCTTAAAATGAGCATTGTCGGACAAACGCTGTTTGCTTCCAGACAAGGTATTAACCGCTTGACTGGCAAGAATAGTAGGATAATTGGAACGAAAACTTACCCCATCGGTTCGTCGAAATACACGGCCTTCTGATGGATTAGGTCAACAATACCCGTGGTTTTCGCGTCTCCAGATATGGGTATGTTCACGAAAGCCGCATTGTACTGAAGCTTGGACCTGGTAGAAAATGTCCATTAAAACGTAAATAAACTATAGAGAAAACTATAGTCAACAAAGAAACAACGAAAAACCCAGATTGTGCAGAATGACGGTTGTGTCGGAAGTATATCATCGAGGGAGAAAATCGGTGTACATGAATGGTTGTAATGAATTATCCACCGGTTCACTGAATATGAGAATCAAATAAATATTAAACTGTAATAATTCCGGTGGAATACACGAAATATGCAGTCATGAATGTGCAGTGGGAGAGAAAATTCCGTGACTCTGATGAAAACGATGTTTATAAAGCATTCGCGCCGATTCTCCTCCCACAGTTATGATAGGCAGACGCCTTACCACAAAAGACTGCAGCTCCGAAATCCTGTTGGTACGTCTTCTGGTTAAAGCATCTTAAAATAATCCATAGAGATGATTCTGAGAGTTGGACCACCGAAGCAAACCCATAGATTGTTCATGTGGAGTGTGAGCTAAGAGCTCAAAGGATAACTGACATGGAGCGCGATTGGTGTCCAACGAAGACCGTACGAAGAAGGCAATCATTACTTTAACCAGTGGAATAAGGAAAATGTTTGAATTTCTAAGGCCGCCGAAACTGCGGGGAAAATTTTAATCAAGCACAGGTAAAACACAAGAAATCCGCGGACGAAAGCTAGTGAGTACGGTTTATCTCATTCTATGAAAGTGTCAACCATCGCAATGAGGCTAGACCTAACCGTGGTGCGATGGTTTGTTTGCCTCAGCGATCCATTGAGCTATGCTGGGTGGTGCTTTTGCACCTTCAGAGTCATTCATACCAGATTCATCAATGGTTAGAGGCCAGACAAACTCAGCCTCCTGGTCCCCCAGGTTCGGGGTTGGAATGAGGGTGGCTCCTTATTCCTTAAAACGGACTCCTTGTAGCCCAGTGCCAAACCCGTTGCCTTGCGGTTAGGTTTTTGAACCAAAGGCTTTGGTTGAGAACCCTAATGGTTCTCCTGTCTAGGCCTGGGCAACCTGACAGTATCCTGCCCACACAACCATATGAATCTTACCTCAAACAAATTGCTGATGCTCTGGCCACCGCAGAGGATGATCAACGGTGCCCTATCTGCTGCATCGAGCAGGGTAGATAGGGGTTTGGATGCTACTGCTCAAGCCTTCCCGTCTTCTTATTCCCCCTCTTACGCTTTTTCACTCTTACCGTCCCCTTCCAACTTCAATTATATCCCCCCTGTTTTCTACCCCCCGATTCTTGGCCCTCCCCCAACATGCTTTGATAGGCATTTGTTTTCCAATTTCAACTCGCATGTGAACGCGGAGCGTCACTCCTCTCCTGTCGACAAGCCCATGTCCAACCAAGCGCTCCATTCCAGTTCATCGGCTTCCATTTGGAGCCCTCGATCATCCTTCAGATTGGCATGCCACAACGTACGCACACTGCTACAAATCGGTCAACGGACAGCACTTGCCCAAACATTATAGACCCTCTCGATCGATATCTGCTGCTTATCAGAGACCCGCCTGCACGACTCGAGCTCCGTGCTCACTCTGCGATCCCCTTCAGGTGACACTAGCAGCACTTTCTCATTGCGCCTATCCGGTGACGATGCAGCTTCGAGCACCGGCGATGCTGGTGTTGGCATTGCCCTGAGTCCCCGGACTGAAGCTTATCTGGTTGATTGGATTCCAATCAGTAGCCGGATGTATGCGGTCCGATTGGCTGGCTCGTTCAAAACTTCAAAGTCGCGTGGGACTAACAGATGTCTATTCGTTATCGCTGCCTATGCACTCAGAAAGTCTAGCGATGACTCGGTAAAAGACGATTTCCATCGACAACTGAACGAGGTCTTTAGCCACAGAAGAAGCACGGACACTGTTGTGCTGGCGGGGGATATGAACGCTCAAGTTGGAAAATTATCCACTGATGAAATGCATCTGGGTGGCCAACATGGTGTAGGCTCCCGTAATGATAACGGTGAGCGGTGACTTCATTTGTGCGAGGATGCTCGCTTATTTCTTGCGAGCACTAATTTCCGACACAGCACCCGCCGGAGGGTGACTTGGTGCCCACCAGCCTCGAACCAGCCTTGGACGCAAATCGATCACATTGCAATCAGTTACCGCTGGAGAGGCTGCATCCAGAATTGTCGCTCGATTTGGAGCACATGTGTGGACACCGACCATGCACTTGTATGTGCTGACATGCGGATGCGCTTTGGCGGACGCCCACGACGACGCTGTGAGGGCATTGACACCAGCCAACTGACAAAGCCAGCTGTTCTGAATGCCTATCAAAGTACGCTGATATGCGAGTTGAGTAAGCACTCACTGGTCATATTCATCAGACCCTACTAGCAGCAGGCAAATCCTCATGTGGTATGTCTAATCGCCAACATGAACATTGGGTCTCTTCACAGTCTCTGGAACTTATCGATGCTCTCCGGCATATTCCGGCTGGAAGCGAACACAATGAAACTCGCAAAATGCTCTGGGCCAAACTCCGCGCTAGCCAAAAACAGACCACGAATCTTGGTGGTCTCATGGTGCGTCAGAGATGGAAATGGCCGCTGCCCTTGGCAACCATCGTAAGTTATTCCGGCTGATACGGGAAACGGGCAGAAGTTTTGGTGTTAGTGGAACTACAAGTGACGAGAGTGGACAGCCTATCCACAATTTGTCAAAACGTTCGGAGCGTTGGGCTGAGCATTTTGAAAAGCAATTTAATCGGCTAGAATTGTTCGATTCTTCGCCGGCCAGTGACTGCCCTGCTCCCTGGGCTGTCCCTATGGATCCACCCTCTCGCTCAGAAGTCGAACGTGAGATCGGCCCGTTGAAGTTGAACAAAGCCGCGGGACTAGATGATCTTCATTCAGCCCTCTTCAAATTCGGAGGCTCTGCTCTTGTTGATGCTTTACATGAATTACTAGTGAAACTGTGGGAGCAGGAGACTGTCCCAACCGACTGGAGCCGCTCCGTCATAGTCCCAATTTTCAAGGGAGGCTCACGATCGGAATGCGGCAACCATAGAGGAATCAGTCTGATCTCCATCGCCTCCAAATTACTAGCCTCCATAATCCTTCACAGACTGACTGGCAGTCGTAAAAGCCAGATTCGTGAGGAGCAAGCCTGGTTTCGTCGGGGTAGTGGCTGCATTGACCACATCTTCACTTTGCGTCAATTGTCGGAGCATCATCACATATCGGCGGCCCACCGTAGTCGAGCTCCTCGACATCAAAGATGCATTCGATTCGGTTGATCGATGTGTCCTTTGGAAATGTCTACTCAGGAAAGCTGCACCTGAGAAATATGTAAATATTATCCGAGCATTATACGCGCGTAGCTCAAGCAGAGTGATGACCTACGGAAAGCTGTCGTCGCACCTTAAGGTCTCCAGCGGTAAGAGACAAGGACGCCCGCTGTCACCTTTCTTCTTTAACTTCGATGTTGACGAAGTCATGGAAATCGCGTTCACAGGACACGACGTAGGTGTGAAGCTACTCTCAGGAGAACGACTTTTTAACTTGGAGTATGCAGACGATATTGCAATAATCTGTGACAGCTCCCAGACGTGCCAAGCCGCGCTGGACAGATTAGCACTGGCTGTCAGCCACTTCGGGCTTTGCTTTGCACCCTCGAAGTGCAAAGCGTTGCTCCAAGATTGGCAGGGATCGCCTCCTGCGCTGACAGTTGGTGGGGTGGCGATGAGCTAGAAGTCGTTCAGAAATTCAATTACTAGGGAAGTTGTATCAGCGCTCTTGGGATCGAAGACGAGATCACGAACCGTATAGCGAAAGTTCGAAGTGCCTTTGCTAGCCTCCGCCACTTATGGCGCCGGCGCGGCATCACTCTCGCTTGAAGGGTAGTGTACAATTCAGCGGTACGTTCGACCCTACTGTACGGTTGCGAAACCTGGCCCCTAAGATCGGCGGACATGAAGAGGCTAGTTATGTTCGACCACTGGTGCCTTCGCAGTTTAGCTTTCATTTGGTGGGAACACCGCGAGAGTAACGAGCGTGTTCGACGCATTGTTTACGGCACAGGAAAAGGATCTGAACCGCTCAGCACCGTTATTTCACCCACCAGGCTCCGATGGCCCGGTCACGTGTTACGCATGCCAGCCCACCGGCTCACGCGACGTGCGTTGTTTGCTCACCGGAGATGTGGATGGAAGGAGGGGTGGCCAAGCGATGAATTGGTCGAGAGGAATGAGGGTCCTCACTTCGAAGCTGGCCTCAGTTGGAGCGTCTCGGCTCCCTGGTTGGGGTCCAAATGACGATGAACACGTTTGACTGGATACACTTGCTGACATGGCAAGGAGCGGACCTCATTGGCGTTTGTGCTGTGAGCTTTTTTGTCCCTCCTCATCCCTCTTAGCCTCCCCTTCGTAGGGTAAAACATAATATTTTTTTATTTTTGCCTAGTAGGTGGTTGGTAGCTTACCGGAACCATGCCCATCCGTTGCTGGTAACTCAGTTGGCAATTGTTGTAGCTATTTTTCCTTTGTGTTTTGTATTATATGTATGTGTGTATCTATTTCCTTCATGTATTGCGGCAAAATAGCGGTGTTTTCCCACCTCTAGCTGACGTGTATAATGATGATGATGATGAAAGTGTTAAGAATAGAAGATGTGAGAAGTGTGTATATAACCACGCACTTGAAAGGATGGCAGCGAGTAGCACGTGGAGATGACAGCACACGAATGGTATGGGATGCCTGCTCAAGCATGCATCCAGATCGATAGTTTGACAGTAGCCACACTAGAGTTACCGGGGAAAAATAGACCGAGAATGGGGAAGTTGGAAAGCATTTGCCACTGTACGGAAGATGGCCGTAGCTACGAAGTTGGACTACAAATAAGCTGCGGAGGGGGGGGGGAGCACAGTACCAGATACATCACCGAAGACTTAGCCCTCGAAGTAACAGTGGGTTAGCCAGTGGTCAAGAAACCATTTGGATGACGACCACTTCGGAGTACTACCATAAACTGAGGTCAATCATACATGAATCGGTTAAATAAGTTATTCGTCGATCTCACGGCGAAGTCACTGGTCCGCCAATTAGAGTATAAACGGCATTATCAGGCAGGGGGTAAGATTGCGTAACAAACGCATAAGACACTATAAAACCGACTAAAAATCTCATGAACTGAATGCACACACTGTAGCTCTCCAATTAAGACTAGAGGACTACCGGTACATCAATAGCACCTGAGATACTCCTCACTGTCCCTTGTCTGCATGCCGAGCCTTTGATTTATGATCATCCTGTATTTGCGTCCTCAGTGTTCATTGTTGCGTACACATCAGTTGTTTGCGCTGATTACTAGACTTATCTTTTGACACTGTAGCAAACCATTTATGAATGGAGGAGTTACGAAATAAGGCACCGCTGCCCACCGATACTGTCTCCACAAGACAATCCGCTGCTCATGGATCGACCCTAGTATCTTAAAGTTACCTTAGTTCCTCCGCTAGCTCCAATGAATTATGTTATGCGCTCTGCTGTGACATAACTCCGTATGCTTGGACGTCCAGCTACTAATGTTCATCCTGTCTCTCCTGCCACTCCACACCACCTGAAACGTATCTACATTCGCTACTGGGTATTCATGCTGATCATTCAGTGGTCCTTTGCACTACTGGATTCTCTCATGTCTCAGATCGCAAATATAGACAAACACCTTGTTATTCTTCAACACACTATCCTATTGCCCAGTGCCTCTCACTGTCACCTGGCGCTCCACGATTATAGATATATACACAGAATGATAAATCCGTTGTAAAACAAGTTCCTCTGCCAACATATACATATTACAATACTAAAAAAATTTAAATAGTCTCCGCCGATTTGCTTGACAGAATCCTTCGGCCTATCACTTTTCCTTCCCACTTATCTAAAGGCTAAAAAGATTTAATGCGAAGGATGTACTTGGAGGACCTGCCTGAAACAATCACCTGGCCAGTGGATTACTAAAAACTTGGACTTGACTGAATCACCTTTTCGCCTGAGATGGGATGAATTTAGTCAAGGATTTATCTGCAATGCCCCAATGGCCCGTGGCTTACACTTCTAAACGAAATTTTTCAACTGACTTCCTATATTTCAAATTGGACCGGCTTCAACGACTAATGGCGGATGCTGAGTAAACCATTGTGTCAGCCAAGGGAAAATTTTGGGCTTAATCCGACTGCGGATAACCGAGTGTATGATCGGTCAGTAAGTATCGCCAGTTCCACACTACTGATGGCAGTGTGCCAGGACGTGGTGGGTTTCCGCCTGGCAAGCGTTGTTCCTATAAAAGCCACAGTTGTCCGTTTAACAACACTGCGACGTGGTGGATGTGACTCGCAACCGAGTAAAGTCCCAGCCCACGGCTTTACACTGGCAAGCTGATCAGCGACACATTTCACTATTTTTGTTATCTAGACTAAATGGATAATTCTCTATCCGCACGTTCTGTCATCACTCTTCACGCCTTTACTGCTGATCACTACATTACACATACATGACCCAAGATTTTCTTCACATCACTAACGATGTTGTTAGCCACCAGAAGTTGCCCGTTCTGAACCCACTACCCATTGCATGCAACGCTACGTATCTATTGTGAAACAGTATTCATGTAAACATTTTGATCATTCTTGAGATGGTGTGTGTCTCGATGCACTAGAGGATAATCTAGTTATTTACCTATTTACTTATAGCGTCAGACGGCTATAACGTGATGATAAATTCAAAGCGCCAATCAGTGGGTGCCACGAATTGACGGTTTTCCTCGTTGGCGACGTGCGCATCACTGTGGGTGGTCTAAAGACAGAACTGCAAGAATATGGTAGTGGTCAAACTCTAAGGGAAACCGTAGGCAGCGGTAAAGAGATTACCTCATTTGTTCCAGAACGTGTTGAGGATTTGCTCCTAGTCGGTCCAACTTATTGATGAATGCGATGCGGGGAATTTTATAACGGTTCATTTGTCGATTGACAGTCAACGTTTGGCTCTGCACACCGCCGACAGCACACAAGACTAAAACTGCTCCGTCTAATACTCGCAAAGCACGCTCCACCTCAACCGTAAAATCCACGTGTCCCGGCGTGTCTATCAGATTCACGACATGTCCGTTCCAAAAGGTATATGTAGAAGCAGACTGAATGGTGATGCCGCGTTGTCGTTCCAATTCCATCGAATCCATGACAGCTCCCACACCGTCCTTGCCTCGAACCTGAGAAAAATAGCAGAGAGCGAATGGAGAAAACTGCCTAGCTATTCTATTGGGGAAGCACAAAATGAGACGTTAAAGGGTTTGTAAAATGAAGCACAATCCAGTTGTTTAGTTTATTATTCATGATCCAAATACTGAAGCACATTGGGTCCAGTAGTCTTGGTTAGCATAGAAGGCGTCAACAGTACGGCGGCACACTGTACCGGAGCATTACTGCCACGCAACTACCCAGTCGCGAGTGAGCTGGGTATAAAGCGAGGTTGACCGCATCTACGCGGAGTTGGAACGGTGACTCACGGAGTACAAGGCAGATGCCACATGCTATTGTCCATAGGCCGAGAAGAGGGTAAAACAGTCGTGGGAAAGGATGAAGAAAATGTTAGATTCGTCGGATGAAGGCTTTAACAGTTGACAGAAAAGGAACAGTGAAACAAAGCCGTCGATTAGTAATCAAAAAGCCGTCCGTATAGCTTCTAAGTGTTGTATCGTACACAGTCGCTATGCGGAAAGTCATAGCTCTTGGGGTCAACCGATGTCCTCTGCACAGTTCGTAACTGGCATGACAGTGGAGGATGAGCCGGGTTATATCGTAGTCAACTATCAGTCATGCAAGTCCGCGGCCGTCACCTATGGCTTAGTGGCACAAATTGCTGCCATCCGGAAGTCATGAGGTCGGAACCCGGCAGGGATACGAGGAAGGCGCACCACTGGCGAGCCCCAGAAGGTCTAAACAGCTGTCCGATGCTTTTCCAGACGTGTCAAAGCCTGTTGACTGAGATGGAACTGCGACGAACTACCTTTGAAAGTAGGATTCATTTGAGGGCTTCAAATCTTAGTATCCGACTCAGCAGTCTGAATCCGAGGAGGGAAACAGACCCAGGTTGTAAGTGTGAATGAAAAATCGAGCAGACCTGCTCGAGGCTAACTACATACAACATTCGTGAGCATCAGAAATTAATATACTTCCTGATCGCCACAATTATTTGTATGTATTAGTGGAGCTATGTTTCACTGACCATGAATTGTCCGAATTCAGGTGAGCGGTGCAAACCAGTGAGAGGGAAATGGTTTCACACACGTGCTCATCCCCAAAGCAGACAGAGCCAAAGTTAGAACTAAGTCTGCTTGTGCAGCTAACCGACTGTTGTAAGAAATGATCTATCTGACCTAAGGGTTTTGAATATTTGGAGCTCCCTTACATGTTATGTGTATATGTGATGGCACTAGAGATTGTCAATGTATGCTCTAACTTGCAGACATCTTATGAAGTGGTGTGGAAACCAACCCTCCTGGTGGACATTTATTGCTGAATAGCTGGCAGATGGACTGCAACAGCACAACTGCGCCCTCAGCGCAAGTTGCAGTACGGAGAACGGTTGTGTATTGTTTGTTCATTGAGTGTTTCCTTTTCGGATCACTTCTGACCCTCCGCTGTCTTTGGTGGATACTGAAAAAGAAAACACCATACTGCATGGCAAATTCATAACACCAGCCCTGATAACAAAACCAAATGGGCACACTATCAAGATACATCTTACATTTGGGCGCGGGCGATGTGCAGACCATAGAAGAGTACTATCTAGGTGCGTGCCCAGTGTGGTCTTCGCTTATCTATTCGTGCTGTTTTATTGTTCTATGCATGTACCAGCCGAAATGTTTGCTGAAAACACATTTAGACGGCGTTTGGTAACGAACTCCTCAGTATCTTATTGAAATGCTTGTTGAACTCGTATCGCCTCTGGTAATTAGATCATGTCCTCCATATACCCGCATACTGGTTAACTCGGTGTGCATCGTTTGCCAATACGGTGTCGTATTGTGCCAAATCACGAGATGTCCAGCCAATGACTTGATAACAGGAAATAAAGAACTCACTAACACGCTAATTACGGTTGCTGATGGTCGTTTTATCGTATGGTGTCCTCAGCACAGACTACGTTAATGTCTAGATATCTTAACAGAAGTGGCACGACCACAGGTTTAGTGGATGCTAGAATGGGTTCCCTCACTTCAGACCCTTGATCATTTCGGCTGACGATTTTAATTCTTATACAATAAACTTATAATAAACTGAATCGAACCAAAGTGAATCTATAACCCGCAAATAAGTTAATAAGCTAATAATAATATTGATCAAATAAACCGACCGATTGTTCAGAAATCTCTCAGAGATCAAGACTTCTCGATCGGTTTCAAGTATATTCCAAGAGTACGAATAATAATAATAATAATAATATCTCTCCAAAACAAGACACAGCCGTTTTATATAGAAATACATCTCAACTCGTTATTGCCTCCTGTGTCTGGTTATCGGAAGAGAAGGGTTACAGAACTCTTTCCGATCGCTTACGAATATGATGCTGAAAACGAGTTTTTCGGACTCATGAAGAGTGATTAGGTTGAGCAATGCATCCAGAGGATGGTTGCATGACAATTACAGCACAATACCAAAGGTCAATTTCAGTATGGCAGGTAGATAAGGTAAGAAGGTATCAGTAGTGTACCAGTAAGCAGTACCGACGCTTCGCTATCGCGCAACCACCACCGGCCGCACGTGCGCTAAGGATACTGCGAGGGTCGCCCTGCCTCTAAGCAGGCTAGAACCTGCGCCGTCAGATTATAAGACAAGCTCGTTACCTTTAGGCCACAGACCGACATTCACCACGTTCAGATCCCGCAGACCAGAACAAACACCACACGGAGCACCAACCGCGTGGACCAAGTATCGTTAGTGTCGAGTGGCATCATCAGATCGGCAAAGGCGAGGTGCGCAGGTGAACACTAGGTGGTTATGACTAAATTAGTTTCTTGGAGCAACAAATAAAACTGAACGAGTTACGTTGACTGGGATGGTATTGTTTGGTTGATTTAGTATAGCAGAGGAATCGAGGAGAGCAATCGTGTAACAAAGCGGGGGAAATAATTCTCTTACGACTGGAATGGACGCTGTGAATAGGTCTTAAACTATAACCAGGGATCTACGCGACGCAAAGTTCATCTGGTTTGAGACCTTATTGAACATGGCTGGTAATCGGGTCCGCGAATAAACCATGTAGGCAAAGGATCATTATCAACAGCGGTACAACAGCCATTTGAACTGATGCTTCGCTGCCATAAAACCATCACGACTTACGGGATGAATAATAATAAGAGGGAGAGAAGGGAGACGTACCGGAAAACTTTCATGTCCAGAGCAAGCATTCAGGGTCAAGGCGACTAAGCCTTGTTGTCTGGGAGAAATTAAGAATTACCTGAAAAATCCACTATTTAAGCGATTAATCGATTGTTAACGATTGTTGCATCCATTTCGAACGTTCCGGAATGTTCTAATTTCTGCACGTGACTATCAACCATCTGACATTTCGGCCAAAGATATGGGGAACCGCTAATTTTGGTAGTTGACCTTCCAATTCCAGAAGTCGGTCAGTAAGAGACCCATAAATACAGCCAAGGTCCGCGGTAGTTGTACAGTGTTTGTTGATGGCGGTTAATACGTTAACTTGTCAAGGTCATTGGCGTTCTGCTTTTTCCTTCGGTTGGGCTAGAAGTGTTGTGGAGCAGTAAAGTGCCAATTGCGGAATCATGTCTAGTGAACAGATTATAACACTTGTGAACAACATGTCGTCACAAACAGTTGGCTATCGTGCAAAGATAGGGAGACATCAGCGACACGGCTTCCTTGGAATTTTCGCTGTCAGGAATCATAATCACCCATTACTCTGCAGATAACTTAACACCAAACACACTTTAAACAGGCAGTCCGGCAAAAAGCGACAGCAAACGCGCCACTGGTATAGACTGCAAGCTTTGTCCTGTAACGTCTCAAGCCAAGCATAAGGAGGGTCAAGTGGACTCCAGCCCAGAAAGCGAGACGGACAGACGGTACCCAATTTTGTAGTCAGTGGCCTCATTTCACGCTGCCAAGTTAACTTTCGCTCATCGCCAGCCTTGCGCCATCCCACATCTGGCAAACAAAACAAGGTCCTTCACGGCAATCCGTGACCGGGCATACGTAGTACGTGCCCAAGTCAACGCAACATATTCAGTGCTATCCATTCTTCTAAGGAACTAGCATGATTATCATTGCCTAATACTCGCCTACGCACACCAATGTTGCGGATACGTTAGTGCCACTCGACACCAGCAATGCTCCGCAGACAGTGATGATCAAAGACTTGAATGTGCCTCAGATCCCCAGATCAAATGGGTCAAGTTTTACTACCAGAGTAGAACGGCCCTCATTGTGGCCTTGTAAACACGGTACTTTAGACTGAAGAATGCGCCTTTCGGACGCCACAGATTTCGCAGATTCAAGAAGACAGTTCTGGTTAAATGCAATATGTAAAATGCCTTCAGTAGTTGGGCACCCGTCGTTGCTAATACAGATGCCAAGGTAAGTGAATTGACTATCTCGAGTTCCTCGCTATCAAGAATAAAGGGATTATCAAGTGGCTGGTGGTCCTGCAAAAACACTGCACTATGAAGGTGCGAAGCGCATACCAAATAATAACACTCTAGAGAAATTATTCAAGGTTGCTTGGGCCGCCCCAACATCGTTATACAGAAGGACAATATCGTCCGCATGGCCAAGATCAACTAGCCTTTCATCAAACAGAACCTCAACACCTGCAACTTAAGATTCCGCAAAAGAACACTCCAAGATGGAGTGCACGACGAAGTTGAACAAAGATGGAGAAATTGGACAACTTTGGCGTAAGGTATCCGTTAAGTCACCGTAGACTCTGACACGGCCTTCCATGTTCGAGTACAGAGCATGTAAAATGTTCACATATTTCATGGGTACAGCTTCCGCACAAGTATTTCGAACATAATGTGTCGATCGACGAAGTGGAACACAGCAATTGTCGGTCTGTGGTATGCGTGGCGCTGCTCTAGCATCTGCCACAAAATGTATATATGGTCCGTACAGCCTTGTTCTGGGCAAAAACCAGCTTGTTCATCGCTAATCCGTGATTCCCGCTCCGCAGCGAGGCGACGAA